CCACCCTCTGAACGGAGCCCGTGGTCTGTTAAGCCAGGTACTTCGTTCCTTCGCGGTAGGAAGGGTTGCAAGAGTTAACAAGCTGATCCACTGCCGGACTTCTTCCAGAGTTTCTCTTTAGAGGAATCTGTTGAGAGACAAGGGACAGCGTGGACTTGAGACAAGTCCGCGTTCCGTATTTGCCGAAATGACCCATGGTCTCTGGCCAGGAATTAAGAGTCTCTTCCCTCGTTTTGCTGGGAGTTTCCTCTTGAGGAGGCTGCAGAGACTTGGTAAACTTTTTTTTTAAAAAAAGGAAATCGGAAATGATTGTTCGCACAAATTTCCCAGGTCAGCATTTGGTGTACGTGAATGGAAACCTCTGTTTAGCGCAGAAGACTGCTGGCGTCTCCCTGTTCCAAAGACTTTAGTGACTTAAAGCTTGCCCACATTTAGCGAAAATCAAACTGGACAAATACCAGAAGATTGGGGAAAGAACAAATCGTTTGCAAAGAGTTGGCGAGATTGTGCCTGGAATGCAGGAAGCCTGTGTCGCTGCCACGGACACAGAACCCGGCTCTTCGGCTGGGCAGCCCTGCCTCTGCTCTGGAATTGCTGGAGCTGGTTGGCCAGCCGAGAGGACCGCAGAGGTTCCCGACTGTCGCCTTGCTCTTGCCTGAAGTTGATGGAAGTTGGGTTTCTCTTTCAGCACACAGCCTGTGTTCAATAAAGGCGTTCTATGATGCGTTTAACAACAGAACAAGCAAACGACTCTCTTCTCACCTCCCCTACTTTCTTTATGTGACTCATTTGCCACCTTTTTTTAACTGGATATGAATATTCAGGGTATACCTGCGCACACAGGGTGTACCTTTGGGGGTAAGCAGTGTTAAGCGCAGCAAGAAGGGAAGGGAGCGAAAGAAGTGAACAGCATTTCAGGCTGCGACCCCATTCACTGTCTCCTCTCTGCAAATTACCCACCGTGTGTCCTAACCTGCTTTTTGTTTCCTTTCTTTTTGAGGATCTTAATCAAAAGATCTCTTTCCAATTGCAACCTGCTTACTCTGCCTTCAGGCATTTGTTTTGCAATTCAGTCTTTGTTCTCTGTAGCAGTGTTTCCCAGCCTTGGCGACTTTAAGATGGGTGGACTTCAAGCTGGCTGGGGGATTCTGGGAGTTGAAGTCCACCCATCTTAAAGTCGCCAAGGCTGAGAAACACACTACTCTATAGGTCCAACCCTCCTCAACTTTCTGCTTTGTCCTGGGTCACTCCTGTTGTATTCAATCCACGTTCTCCTTGCTCCCGTTTCTTTTTGACCCTCTTTTCCTTTTTTGACCCACTTTTAACGCACGCTTCCTCCAGGCTGCTTACAGACAGAAAAATGCTTGTAAAAATGTAAGAGTTAACACGTAAAAAGATCAGAGGTGTCTTCCTGAAGCCCTGGGGTTGGGTTATGCCCATTTTTGCCTGTCTCACTCGACTGTTTAATTGCGTTCCCCGTCTTAGGGGTGACAAACAGGCACGAAGAATAGGCTGGTCGGCCGGCCATTGGGTTGTTGGATCTGGCCTGAAAACGCAGCTCCTAGATTGGCAAAATAGCTTTCTGATCTAGTGCCAAGTGCTGTGAGGTGGGCATTCTGATGATCAGGAGGTAGAGAGAGTTGGGGTTTTGGGGGGGGAACGGTTGGCCTGGGTTTTAAAATTGGAGCATCAGCTTCGAGAGCCCCCTCTTGTTTCTTACCTTGATTCTCTTCCATGGCATCTAGTGTAATTGGGTATATTCATAAATAGCAGGAGGACTTCCTGGAGGGCACAGTTGCCAAGTAGGTCCTACTTGCCCCTCCCTCCCCACTGGCACCCTACTGATTTATTTTGGAAGCCTGTATTGGTTCTTGCTGGGAGGCAACTGGGAACATCTGTGTCCCCAGATGTGCAATGTCACTAGGTGGGGCTGGCTTTTCTAGGCCAGGCGTTCACTTAGGTGCAAGAGGAGGTAATGGGCGGGCAGCTGTGGCTCGCATTCTTCCTCCAGTAAAGGAGACCTGAGCTGTTTGTAAATAGACTGGAGGGCTTTGCACAGCGTAACTGCTTACAACGTGGCTCCCTCACTCAGTCACCTCATGCCAGCCATCCCTCACTGGCATGCCCGCGGCTCCTTCTACTCCAGCAGTTGCCCGAAGACGGCAGCTTGGACCAAGCGAGCTGGCAGTTCTGACTCTTGTGTGCCCCAGGCTGCTCGCTGCCTCTTCCCTCCCATCAGCCCTTCGCTTGGTGCTGCTGTTTGCGGATTTCCAGGCCTTGTGAGACCCCGGCCTACGAAAGGGCTGCTCCTGCCAGTCTTCCTAGGCCGGCTCTGCTCTGAACCCGCTGCTCACCCTTGGGCGCCCAGGGAGGCCCGGCAGAGCCCAGCGCCCCCTGCCCAAACCTTGGCCTTCAGCTTCATGCTCCTCCTGGGCCTCCAGGGGGCACAAGCGCCCCACAGCACGAGGCTAAGCATTTGGTGTTTGTATCAAGGCCAGAGGCCACCTCAGATGCTGCATATGCACCCTTTTATCAGCGCTTGATTGCTGTTCCACGTTTTTCCACGTGGCAGTCTTCCCATCTTTATTTTATGTGTCCTAGTCCATCAGGGAGCTACGCAGGGGGGCAGCCTGCTTTCCCCAGCTGGCTTGCAGAGTGTTTGTAGGGCATGGTCAAAAAAGTCATCACGGTGGTCAGACCCAAGCTCTGCCTATTTTTTACATGTTTGAAACAGGTGTCCTGAGCAAAAAAATAGGTTTGCTTGAAACTCCAATCCTTCCAGCATGGTCTGAACAGTCTGTTCAGACCATGAAAGGGAGGCACTTTATTCATTCATCTGACTGATTGATAAATTGCCTGTACTTTGGAGCACTGAATTCCTCCTATAGATTGAGGAATGATGGTTTACGCGGGAGAGGAGCTGGTATAAGGCCCTTTTATTAATGAGTGTTTCTATCAATCGCACGAGAAAATGGAGCACTGCAAATTAATCCCCATCAAATACTTCTGAGGTGGGGGGGCAATCCCTTTCCGCTGTGTCCCCTTTGCTCTGGGGGCACAGTGGAAAGGGCCTGCAGGGGGCTCCTCCTCACAGCTGGCAGATCTGCTTGGGACGGGGGAGGCTCTTCCACTGCGGCCGTTCTTGGACTTGGAGCTTGAGAGCTGCAGTAGGTGGAGAAGTGGGTCTTCAGCGTGCTCAGGAAGATGGGGTCCAGGGTCTCCCGCAAGCTCAGGGCCATCTGGTCTGTCCACCAGTGCTCCGGGCCCACGGGACGCCGGTGCTTCAGGTTAAAGATGTGCATTGGCCGGAAATCCTTGGGGACCTCCAGGCGGGTGGCCTTGATGTGGGGGTAGAGGCTCTTCTTAATGTCCTCGTAGGGCAGCTCAGGGACGGAGCTCACCTTGCCAATGTTGTCGATCTGGATCACGGGCTCCCCAAAAGCGTTCTTGAAGAGGAACAAGAAGGAGGTGAAGTCGTGCTCCGTGGGCTTCTCTGGCTCCACACCCAGCCGGACGAGCGGTGGCCGGTAGATGGAGGTGGCGGGCTCTGAGGCCAGGTTGGTGCTGAGGTTCCATGGCTTCTGGCGCCGGTACTTCCAGAGCACTCTGAGGGCCACCTCTGAGGCCCCCCCCTTGAACAGGGGGCTGAGGGAGGGGATCGGGCTGGCCATCTCCCCAGCCACCTTGCGGAGCATCACCGACTGACGCCGAAAGAGTGTAAAGTCTAGGACGCTTCTAGTGGGCAACGGCAGGCCCTTCTTCATGAGCCAATTTTCAAACGCCAAGATGTTGCAGAAATTCAGCTCCCTCTGCAATGGAAGCACAAAGAAGCTAACCCTGGCTTGCAGAACCAGCCCGTCATTGGGATCCTGCAGCACGCGGAGGCACAAATCGTGGCGCCCGCCCTTTGGAACATCATCCCCGCAAGGTTAGATGGCCCCGACCCTGTGGGCCTTTCATGGGGCCTTAAGGACTTCGTTTAGCGACACAGAGCCATGAACTTGAGATGGGTGACCGCAGAAATTGAAATAAATGAACGAATATAGAAATGCAAGTCAACAAAACCCCCATTTAGTGGAACGTGTTTCCTGAGCCCAGGCAGAGAAGCTGGTTTGCTCATCCTATGCTGCCGAGACCTAGCCTGTATTTCACTCCTTCGCGCGCTGGTGAAGGAGCCAAGACTGGCTCCCCAGACCCCAGGGGGGCCGGTCAGGCCCCCCC